GGCTTCTCCTTCTCTTTTTGCCTTACGTAGTTGTATTGGTTTTCGAGCCCTTTAAATGTGAACTAAAGGATCTCCTCGAGCGTTGCAGTTTTAATTGTGTTCCATAGGTAACTTTCTTCCCCCCATAGCTCAGCCCTGCCTATGTAGATGTCCTTGGCACTTTATTCCAGGGACGGCCCTAAATGTATGGATTACTTGTTTTCTGTAGCATACTGATTATGAACCAGAATACAAAAAGCCTGATAGATCAAAAGCATTTTGTATGGGCAGTTGAACAGGAGGTGAATATATAACGCTTTTGTTCATCAATAACTCTTTGGCTTTGACCTGTCTGAGCAAGTCGTGCAATAAGGTGAAACGCAGGTCACAGCGTCTAACAAATATGAAAATGTGTAGTATTAAGCAGAGAAGGGATCTGCTGCTTCCCCAGCCCCATCGCTTCTCCCCGGGCAGCTCTCTACGGGTTTGTGCTCTCCTGGGGCTGCCCCAAACTCGAGCTGGGTTTGAGTGGGTGTGTGTTACCCTGCCCGTTCAGCCGGATGGTTAATAAGCCCCTCAGGGGGAAGTATCTCCTCTCCCCTCAGAGAAAGGAGGAGAAACCGGGGCGAGCCGCTTAAAATAGTTGGGTGGAGATTCAAATAATACGGGGTGGGGATGGTGAGGGACATTAGGGACACAAAGTCGTTTCGAGTTGCACTTGCTGTGAAGAAGACACCACCGCAGTGGTAAGAAAGCAGATATTTAAAAACAGCATCCCCCAGACCAGGCAGCTGGGAATTGGAGCCAGGCAAACAAACCGGTACACATCGCTCGAATAAACGCAACACCCCCAACTCTGCCCTCCGCAGTGGTTGGATGTATCACACCCGCACCATTATTTGTCCTTATGGTGCCTGTTTTAAATAGTGGAAGGAGAAGAGGTTGACCGCAGGACAGCAGTGAGGAGCTGGGTCAGACACAATTCATGAACTTTTGTACTCCTGTGTGCTGCTGTCGACAAAGTAAAAATAATGAAACTTTGTGAGATGTTTGTAAATGATTTCGGCTGACCTCTCGCCCTGCCCTTCACCATAAACGCTACGGCGGGAGAACCTGGGAGGGTGCGAGCTGCGGCTCGCAGGCAGCTCGCGGGGATAATAGCTAGACCAGCATAATGGGATGAAGGTAAATTTGGAAACTCTCTTCTTCCCGAGAGCAACTAACTCCAGCCTTTAATCTCTTCTTTTTCACCAATCGCTGTTTCTGTTGTCGGCTGTTTTACTTCTGCTTCGATTTTTGTTTTATTTTATTTTTTCTTTTTTTTTTTTTTTTTGGGGGGGGGGGGATTTCTAATTAGGGAGAATCTCTTCAGATTCGCGTTAGCCTAAATAGATAAGGACTCTTTTCTAAATGATTTTAAACTATTATTATTCTAAATTGAGCAATTTAACCGGTAACATCCGTTTTCCGTAGCGAGGACGTAAACGGCAAAATATTTAAAGTGAGGAGCAGGTCTTCCTGAGAATTTAGTAGGTGAAATTCGTCGCTATAAATTGGTGGAGAGTCGTATAGCTCTATTGCAGCAATAATAACGAGTGTGAATAATTTTCTGAAATCCCACCTTCCTCCAAATCCGTATTCCAGAACTGAGTCCTAGCAGAGTAGTTTGCATTCCTCAGAAGACAGTAAGGACTAGAGAATTGCAAAGACCTGCTATATTGTAGATGAAAACAGAATGTTATTACGTTGTCTATATATACCCTGTAGAACCGAATTTGTGTGATATTCATATAGTCACAGATTCGATTCTAGGGGAATATATGGTCGATGCAAAAACTTCACCTTTCTGCAAATGGTTAGAAATTTAAATAATGGCGGGATCAAAAGGCATGTGCGTGCTGAACACTCAGAAATTATAAAAAGTTCTGGTGCCTCTCTCCTATTTACTAGGTTTTAGGACGTGTCTGAAAATTTTAGTTGTTGTTCAGTCATAACTCTCACTGACAGACGGTGAATTTAAACAGTTAATCTCACCAGAAGTTACAATTTTTTTGAAAAAAAATCTACCAATCAGTGAATGACTCTTTAAAGATATACTAATAAATTAGCTAGATATGCCAGACGTTAGCAAAATTTCCCTGTCAAGGGTTCAGATCACATCAAAATATTTACGACAGCAGCAAAAGCAGCATACGCCTCACTGGAATGTATTTACTTGTGGTCCAGGAATTATATTGATGAATTAAGACCGAATTTATCTCATTAAACCCGTGATATTTTTAAACTAATTAAATGCTGTCTCCAGTTCAATTGCTTGAACTTTAGTGGTTAAAAGTGAATGGTTTCTTGCCATCTGTATGATTTTACATACATACATGTACAGATTTATATATATACACGTGTGTGCGTCTGTGCGCGCACATACGTATGCACACATATATATTGAGGTTTGGAAAGTGAATGAGAAGTTACTGATTGCCTAATTTTATTCAGCAGAACTAAATTCTGGTAACTTTTGGATGACCTCTGGGAGACAAAGACAGGACGGACCTATTGTACATCATATTACCCTCCTCTTTGGCGGCTTCTCTTTTCCTCACCTCCTGATCAGTTTCCTCCCTTTTAATCCCACTTCAGCTCCTCGTACCGTACATTTCTTTAGATATTTTGTTTAAAGCAAGGTAACAAGCCCCGGTGACGGTTGCAGCTGCTAAACCAGACGGAGGGGCATGGTCCATTGGGGCTGGGGGATGGCAGCTCAGACAAAAGGCTGGCCCTACCTGCGGCCTGGGGGGCAGCCGCTGCCCCAGAAGTGTCCCCCCACCTCCGATACCTGATTTGGGGGGGGTGCGACCCGCCGGGGAGCGGGTCACTCGGTTACAGGGATATTATGGAGTGAAATTGGTGGAAATGCTGAGCTGCGGAGAAATCCGGTGATGGGCTCCTGCCTCCCCATTGGCCAGGCCGGTCACATGCCCGCCTAACTTTATTCAGTTGACAGCAAGTAGGAGGGCTCTATGGCAGGGGAAAAAAAGACAACACGAGAAAAATTAGTATTTTCTACCTTCAGAAATTAATGGCCATGAGTTCGTATATGGTGAACTCCAAGTATGTGGATCCCAAATTTCCTCCTTGCGAGGAATATTTGCAGAGTAGCTACCTAGCTGAGCAGGGTGCCGAGTACTACAGTGCCTCGCAGGGCTCTGATTTCCAGCACCAGGGACTCTACCCACGGAGCAGCCCTTTAGCTGTAGCAATGCCCAAGGCTCTGCCGTGCCGCCGCGGGGTCATGGACAGGAGCAATCCGGCCCGGCCAGCCACTTCCCCGGCCAAGCAGAGCATTGTCCACCGCCTCCAATGCCCAACTCGCGAGCCTGCAGCCAGCAGCCGGCCCTCAAACCCCCAAACGGGTCCGCAGTTAAGCAGCCAGCAGTAGTTTACCCCTGGATGAAGAAAGTCCATGTTAACTCGGGTAAGGATCCTCTTCTTACTTTGCTCTTCTCCCCTGCTTCCGACCGTCCTCAGCGACACTCGCTCGAGTCCCTGCCAGACTCGGGGACGAGCTCCTTAAGCCGAGGCAACCAATTACACCCGTCATAAATTTTTACTGCTGAGGAAATAGGCCGTTGGCCATGCGGGGCTTTGCCGTGCAGGAGAAAACTCCATTTTAGGAGCCTGCTAGAGGCTCCCAGCCTACCTAGCTGCGTGTGCCTGTAGTGCCTGCCATAAATGAGGGGGAGAGCAGCCCCTCCATTGTAAGCAACTGGGACGAATCCAGCCCGGCCACATGCTCGCAGCTCGTAAGGTTTTCTTTTGTAAAGTCGAACCGGCAAGTCAAGATTAGCTTTGTAAAGTTCTCCGTATTTTTTTCCCAGTGAATCCCAATTACAACGGAGGGGAACCTAAACGCTCCCGCACAGCTTACACCAGACAGCAAGTCCTAGAACTGGAAAAAGAATTTCATTTTAACAGGTACCTGACCAGGCGCCGCCGTATCGAGATAGCCCACACTTTGTGTCTCTCTGAGCGCCAGATCAAGATCTGGTTTCAGAACAGAAGAATGAAGTGGAAAAAAGATCACAAACTGCCCAACACGAAGGGCAGGTCTTCTTCCTCTGGTTCAAACCCCCACTTACAGACTGGTTCCAAGGACCATCAGACTGACTTGACAACTTTGTAGAAGAGGTGAAATTTTCCATTTCATCCTTCGCTTCTGACCAGTACTGTACATAACTGACACTGCCCAAGCAGAACCTGCATGTAGCAGCTAAGGACTCGAGAAACTGTCATCTTTCTTTAAGGTACTGTTGTACAAAGGAGACAAAATGACGCTACTATGGACTTTATTTTGTTTGTCTCTGCTAGCACAACCTAAAAAAGGGAAAAAAAAAAAGGGAGAAGGAAAAAAATGCAACATCATGCAGTCAGTGGGAATTGGGAAAACATTAAACGAGACTTTCTGTCCATAAAAAGTAATAAATCATTGAAAATGAAACTTTCCTGTGTTTCAGTTTTGAATTTGAAAGTGAAGGTTCGATGCTTTATTCTGGGATTTTTACTTTTAATTGTCTTTTTATCCCATGCAATTTCGGGAGGATGCATTTGGGCAAGTTGAGGACAGGAAATTTATAGCATAGTCTTTTATCTGAACATAAAGACTAGTAACTGTGAACTTTTCGTGCTGCTTTATCTTTCTTGGTGTAATGAAAATACTTGCTCATTTCCATAACGTCTCAGAAGGTGTGCATAGGAGTTAAGTGAAAACGGGTTATTTCGTGTACTGATAGTGTTAGCATATTTATTTATTTGTTACGTAGAAGAGAGAAGATAAAAGCAAAAATAGTCAAACCAAAAAGGGGAAAGGGGACCTGAAATACAGTATTTCTCCTTCCTAGTCTTATGAACACATGTATAATGTTTACTTGTCTTGAACGTACTCAAGTTTCTCGTCCGTTTTTCAAAATTTCCTTCTTTGTGAATAGAAGTGTCCCTGCTCCTTACCGTGTGCCATCCCGGGCTAATAGGCTTTAAGTCTGTTTCCAAAGTCTGCTCTGCTCAGCGCTGTGCTTTAAACCATCGATACCTCATTTAAAATTGGACAAAACAAAAACAAAAAGGGGAGGGGGGGAGGAAAAAAAAGACCACGACTCCCCCCCAACCCCTCCACCAAAAACTAAAAATAAACCCTCCAGAGTGAAAAAATAATGCGATTTCAGATATAATCTGAGCCTTTCAGAGATCAAAGCTGAATGCATTTTTTTTATCAGATTTCAGATTTATTTTCTGCCCAAGGGAGAGATGGGCTGTGTAGGTTGCTGCTTTGCTTTGTTTTGGGGTTATGTTGGAGTGAAGGTGTTTTTTGTGTTGGTTTTTTTTTTTTTTTTTTTTTTTTTTTCCTAAGAACAGTGATTGTTTTTAAGCAAACCACAACACACGATTGCAATGGTTGGAAATCTCAGTAAGTTGCTTTCAGAGGAAGGGGAAAGGCTGGGATGGGAGCAGAGATAGTCTAATACCCACAGATGTGTCCCTGTCTGCTGGCTACACCGTGCCAAAGTTTTAGTGCGTTGTGGCTACTAACCCCAGCCAAACCAGCTCCCTCAGCGTGATTGTTTTTAAGCAAACCACAACACACGATTGCAATGGTTGGAAATCTCAGTAAGTTGCTTTCAGAGGAAGGGGAAAGGCTGGGATGGGAGCAGAGATAGTCTAATACCCACAGATGTGTCCCTGTCTGCTGGCTACACCGTGCCAAAGTTTTAGTGCGTTGTGGCTACTAACCCCAGCCAAACCAGCTCCCTCAGCCACTTACACCTCCGCTCAGGATAATTTTAAAGCTCAGCCCTTATCTCCTGTACCCTCAGGGCAGCCTGGGAGAGGGATCGTATCATTGAAATTGTAACGAAGTGATCCCTTTATTAAAGAGAGAAGGGGCAAAGAAGGAAACGCAGAGCAAACGCAGAAGGGCGGTGGGAAGAGCAGGAGGTGAGTTCCCGTGCCCATCACCAGGCTGGGTGCTTCCCACTGAGGACTCACTGCTCTCTGGGCTCTCTTGGGAAAACACTGGCCAAAACGGGCTTGAATGAATTGGAAAATAAAAGGCGAGCTTTTCAACGGGGTTGTATTCGGCAGCGTTAACTGTGGCCAGCGGTTAATTTCTGCCCTTTTCTCATCCCTAAAAGTCCGCAAAGTGACTTGTAAGACTTGGTCTTTTGTTTTAGAGCCTGGAAAAAACTCTTTGTTCTTCCTTAGGGTTAGCCCAGTTCTCAGACTTGCACATGGCAATACTTGAATATCTCCACGTCGTGATATTAAAGATGGATTTTCCCGCATTATTCCCATCATTGTTTCTATGACAAAAAGCACCGAGTTCATACATAGTAAAGACGTCTTTTTTTCTGACGCCTTCACGTCGAGAAGCTGAAAAGGTATTTTACTGAAGTTCGGCTAAATTGCAGGGACAGGTTCACCCAGAGGACAAATTTTCTATTCGATTAGTTGTATTTCAGCCGGGAAGAGTGACCTCTAAACCCTTAACCTTTTGGACCCAAACTACCCTTCTCTTTCTCTGGCGTGGACAGCAGCTAGCAGCAGCGCTTGAGGAGGGAATTCCTGAGACAAGTTTTCAAGTTTTGTTACTCCCGGTTCCTGCAGTAGCGGCCTTTCGTCTCCAGAGTTGTCCAAAGTCCTCCCTTTGCTCTTCATACAAATCTGGCGAAATAAAAAAGAAAGAGGCGGGGGGAAATGAAAAACCTCTCTGACTGCTGTTCTTGAATCCCCCCTCCCGGACTCCCGCTGTTTACTTCAAGTCTGTGATAAGTTGGCTGGGAGCAAGGCAAACGTGTTATTCGAGAGGGACCTACCAACTTTGGCATCTGTGGTACGGTTCTGGAAAATAATGTCCTTGGATAAGCAAATCCTTGCTTTATGCTTCTTATCCACAGAGATGGTTCCCGAAGCTGAAGGGCCAAATTCTGCTCCCAGATTTCCTTCCCCCGCCCACTAACGTCAAACAGGGATGTAGCTGCGAGCAGAATTTGTCTCATTGTCTTTTGAAATGTTAATATCTCCAGGAGCAGTGTTGGGTTATCTTACAGCCCTGTTTGCAAGTCCCCTTTGAGAGAGGCTGGGGCACTGTAAGTTTACATAGTTGTAATTGTGCTGTAAGATCGGAGGATACTGAACTGGAGGCAGAAAGTACCAAAAGAAGTAGTTTCCAGCTGTCAATGCTCTGAAGGGTCAGGAATAATGACTAGAAGCATGCACTGGTCATTATCTTCCATAGAAAACAAACCTGAGGTTAATTTCTTATTGGTTTTTAACACTCATCCGGAGTTATTTTGTGTAGGAAGGGAAACTAGTTATTTTTGTTTATCATGGGTGAAATGTTGTGTATTGGAGCCTCTGTTAAATGGTCGCGTTGTCCAGCAATACTCTCATCTCTGTTAAAGTGTGATGCTATTTATAGACTTTACTAATGTTTTGCTGCCATTGATTAAAGCGTTATTTATACTAATTGCTGCCTGTAGTTTTGATGTAAGCCCTCCATATACATTTGAAATAATAAAAGGTGTAGAGAAATAGATTCTGGTTTGTACCTTGAACAAACAGTCCTTACAAGGTGGGTCTCTCTTCTGTGAAAATGCTGGTCCCTCCCATCATTACAGTGTTAAAAGATGAGTGACTCTGCATAGTATCCATCCAAATGTCCCTTTGAACAGGTTTGCTGATTTCCCCAGCCATAATGGTGTGACTCTAGGCCAAGCTGGAGTCTATATTTACATTTAGACTGCAGTTAAAAGTGCCTGTCATCCATTTGCTGCTGCTTTGCACTTAACAAGCCTTCCTAGAATGACTCTAGGATTTATGCATGTGTGGTAGGAAGCAAGGAGCCACTCCTGAAGTCACCTCCATCCCCACACATATGTGTGCCTTTTAGGTGAGTCCTGCAGGAATCAATTTTAAGAAGAAATGGAAATCTGAAATTGAAACGCAGCGAGTAGCTTTCTCTGAGCATTAAGTTTCACTTTTTCAGCCCATACAAAGTAAAGATTACAGGTCAACAAAAACTTGGAGAGTTTAAACTTTCCCCTGCATCTATGGCAAACATTTTTTTTTCTCCCTTGTGTAAGCACTTCAGACAACACCTACCTTTGGCCAGGAAAAGTCGATTGCACTATTTTTGTCATAAGTATTTGCCACTGAGGACTTGTCCTCTCCTGGAGAGTGGTCAAGGCACTAGTCCAAAAAGACGGTCTCTTGCTCAGCCCGGGAGAGGAGCGAGGTGCACAGAACAAGGCATGTGCCTGGAGTGCACGGAGGGGAGAGTGCATGTGCGTTTCTAAGCACACGCTCACTGAGTTTAGATATTGAGGCACATTTTGTGATGATATTTTCTCTCTCTCCCATTTAATGGCTCCTCCTGTTACTCCTGATACATCAATACAGTTCTGTATATTATATCACCACTAGTCGTTAAGGTAAGAATGAAGAGGAAAGGCAGAGTCAATAGCAAACCCCACTCATCGTACAGTACAGTAAATAGGGACCTCTCGGTGCAGAGCCACACCGCTTCCAACGGCCATGTTTGTTAGCCCTTTCCCCTGATTTTTATTTTTTTCGGTTCCTCCATCAAGCCTAGAGAACAAAATAATCTTGCTAGGAACAGTCATAACAGGCAGAATTTCAAAGTGCAAGGAAGATGATAAGAATAGATTTCTACAAGTCCTGACCACGTGATTTGCGAAATAATTAATTCAGCACGTCCCTTAAGAAACACGGAGTCGTCATTAATCTGCCAAGCAAAGGACTCTATCAGACTTGAAAACTGAAGAGATCCCAAGAATATAATATACAAAGGGTGCAGTCCCTCTCTCTGCACACCTAGCTCTTTAGTAGCTGCCGAAAAAGAGACGCCCGGTACGTAAACATTTTTTTTTTTTTTTTACTTTTATTCCTTCTTATTTCAGCCTTAATGAACTCAGCTGGCAAACGCTTGACAAATAGCACACGCTGCTTCCTGATTTCCAGCTCTGCAGCGGCCGGGAGCCGGACCGGGCGCAAGCGGTGACCTTTGCTTCCCAGGGAGCGGGGGGAAGAGGGTGAGCGCGGAGCCCCGCGGAGCTCCGCGGAGGAGGCAGGCTGGCCGCCCCCCGGA